AACCACAGGGCAGAGCAAGGTGACGAGTTACATCTGGGCTTCAGACAACTTATGACAGACCTCAAGATGGAAGCCAAGGCAGCAAGATTAATTTATCATTGATATTAAACCACCTATGACAGTGGTGACGCATAGCCACTGCTGAAAGCTACGTTCTGACAGCCGAGAACATGGGCTCGGGCAGCCCTAGCAGCGCCTAGGCTGACAAGTTCAGATTGCTGTTGGCGCCCAGGGCTGTGGCAGGGGTCTTCAGGGCAGGGCTGTGGGGTAGAAAGGCCAGCCAAAGAAACCCATCCTGGCCCTGAAACCAGAGCCAGTGAAAGAAAGACTTCAGCCCTGAACCCAGAACCAAAGAGAGCACCCTGACTCTGAAACCAGTGCTAAAGAAACAAACCTTGGCCCTAGAATTAGAGTCGGTGAAAGATATATGACCTGGCCCCAAAACTAGAGGCAAAAAGCTAAAAAAGGTCAGTGAAAGAAACATAGTTTGGATCTGAAACCAGAGCCAACTCTGCCAATGATCAACTAAGCATAAAACCAACCAATCCCTGAGCAGGTATCTAGCCAATCTGAACTCAATCTGGCCAATTCACACCCTGAAAATCTCCCTAGAAAAACTCTGCCCAAGAAGCTCTATATAAGCCCTGTGTCTGTTCCATTTGCTGCTGTCTTATTCTACCCTGGTAGAGGCAGTCACTTCCAGTAAGTCTCCTGAATGAGGCTTGGGTGAAGACCTTCTTTTGCTGGAGCTGAGATGGAGCCAGCGGAGTGCGGCTGTAACACTTTCCCTGGGGGATCCTTCCCCTAGCAGAGAGCAGTTGTTATACTCCAGGCACCAGAACCGAACTGCAACAACTTCGCTGGGAAAGCCCTCTCCTGCCAGAGTAGACCTGTTACATCGGGAAGCCTTTCCCTAGAGCAGGGCTGTAAGCTGCTATGCTTATGCGACCTGTGTTATTCCCTGGCCCCCGAATGCCAGAACACTAATCTACCCGAGCTGTAACACCCAGTATCCCCTGGCCCCTGACTGTCAGAACACTAATCTACCCGAGCTGTAACACCCAGTATCCCCTGGCCCACACTGCCAGAATACTCTTCTACCTGAGCTGTAACACTCAGTGTTCCCTGGGTCCTGACTGCCAGAACTTTTCCATCCAAACTGTAGAACTCAGTATACCTTGGCTCCTGACTCCCTTTCCATTTGAGCCGCAATACTTACAAGGACACCTGCCAATAGCAGCTGTCCAGGTGTGGGCCATACTTCACTTGCTAGAGTCAGGTGCACTGACTTTTTTCTTTTTTTTTTTTAACATTTACTTATCAATGTGTGTGTGTGTGTGTGTGTGTGTGTGTGCCATAGTGTGTATTTGGAGGTCAAAGGACAAGCCCAAAGTCAGTTCTCCCCTTCTACCATGGGTTCCAGGGGATCGAAGCATGTCATATTGTCAGCGAACACCTTTACTAATTCTCTCAGCTCCTCCCTGCCCTCTGCTTTTTAAGATATGGCCTGACTGTAGCTCAGACTGACCTAGAACTCATAGCAATGCTTCTGCCTCAGCTTCCCAAGTACTGGAAGTATACCACAATGCCTTCCAGGGCAATTGATCTAAGCCAAGCAGACTTCCCTGCCTCTGGAAGTCTGGCACCCTCTTGGATCTGGGATGGTGTTGTCAGGTGTGGGCTGTGTGAAATACTGCCATCTTCCAGTGGTAGTCCAGAGTGGGCAGAGGTTGTTCAAGGTCACATTGTGTGACTGTACCAAACCCCACAGTCAAGGGGTGCTCACAAATACTGCTTCCCGACAGGTGGCTCTCCTTGCAGCAGTGGCAGAGGGACAGCCACGCGTGCCGAGGAAAACGGCAGAGACATGTCCATTATTTTGGAAAGCCAGGGCTCTGTTGAGCCTGCATTTTTAGCTCAGATCCATTGGTCAAAAAACCTTCATAGACGGGAAAGCAGACACCCAGCATGGTTTGGTCACTGGGCTGGGGTCTGAACAGAGGCCGCCTGGCTTTAGGGCTGACATCCTTAAGCCCAGCACATGCTGTGCTCCGGTCAGAGTGTAAGTGTGAGCCAGGCAGCGCCAGTGGGACAGGAGAGAAGTGGGTGGCACTTCCTTCAGTGGACACCAAGTCCCTACTGGCTGTGGCTAAATCTGCCTTCCACTGGCTGAGAGTAATAAGTTGCAGAAGCCTGGGTGATATTTCTGGTGGCTATGCTGGCTCATCTCACCGCCCCTCTTAGAGAAAGGTAACTCTACAACCTTGAGTGCCACACTGGGCAGAGGGAGTGCTTAGGAAGCTGGACATGCTTGCCTGTCTAAAGTCATCGCCTGACTCCTCATCAGACAAGTTGAGCAACTCGGCCAGCCCCACCACAAACCAAAAAAAAAAAAAAAAAGACATGGTTGATGAAAGCCCCTCGCCCCTCATGTGTGCCTCTGCTGTCACTGCCCTGAACACACTGGCACCTTCTGCACTATCCATCCCCAGCTCATCTGACTGAGCTGGCCACGGAGCTGACCCTGCACAGAGCTCTGTGACCCAGCTGCAGGGTGCTCCCTGCCCCGCTCTGGCTGTCCCAGACTAGTTGGTGTTTAGGACTGAACCTCAGGCTCCCTCTCTCTGGGATGAGGCCTGGTTGTTGGCCAGTTTCTCTTGCCCTATTCTGGGGCAAACTCCCGGACAGAGGAAGCCCTCCCACAACCTGGATGAGCAGAGGTTGGTCTGTTCATGGATCCGTGATTTGGTCTAATCTTTATATAGCCAAGGCTGGCCTGGCATTTGTGACCCTGTTGTCTCTTTAGAGCTGGGATTACAGACATGTGCACCTTGCCTGACATGAGACACAGTTTGGACAGGGAAGGGCAGCAGCAGGGTATCTGCACAGTTGGGGGCAGGGCATGAGGCTTTGGAAGCTCCCTAAGTCATATGGAAGTGCATATTCCATTGTCCTTGGACTTCTTTCCTTCTTGATTTCCTAGGTACTCAAGATGTCAAAACCAGAACGTGGTGGGCCCTCCAGGGCAAAATTCTGGATTTCCCTGGGTCTTCCAGTAGGAACTGTGATCAACTGTGCTGACAATACAGAAGAAAAAATTCTGTATATTGGGGGCTGGAGAGATGGCTCAGTAGTTAAAAGCACCAGCTGCTCTTCCAGAGGACCCTGGTTCAATTTCCAGCACTCACATGGCAGCTCACAACCGTCTGTAACTCCAGTTCAAGGGAATCCAATACCCTTAAACAGACACACATGTAGGCAAAAACACTAATGAACATAAAATAAAAATAAACTATAAAAAATTCTGTATATCAGAGCTGGAGAGGTGGCTCAGAGGTTAAGAGCACTGGCTGCTCTTCCAGAGGTCCTGAGTTCAATTCCTAGAAAACACATGGTGGCTCACAGCCATCTGTAATAAGATCTGGTGCCCTCTTCTGGCCTGCAGACATACGTGCAGGCAGAACGTTGTATACATTAACAAATAAATCTTTAAAAAACAACAACAACAACAACAACAACAACAAAAACCCTGTCTACCTTGTCTGTGAAGGGAATCAAGGGATGACCGAACAGACTTCCTGCTGTTTGTGTGGGTTCCGTGGTGATGGCCAGTTAAGAAAGGCAAACCAGAGCTAAGAAAAACATTCATCAGCAGTGGTAATTCTATGACAAAAGTCAGATCAAAGAAAAGAAGGGAGTTCCTTTATTTTGAAAATAATGCAGGGGTCACAGTAAACAACGAAGGTGAGAAGAAAGATTCTGCTATCAGATCCAGTAGCAAAGGAGCGTGCAGACTTGTGGCCCAGAACTGCACCCAGTGCAGGCAGCACCACAGGACTCTCCTGTGTGTTTGTAAAGGGCGGTGGTGGTGCACGCCTTTAATCCCAGCACTTGGGAGGCAGAGGCAGGCGGATCTCTGTGAGTTCGAGACCAGCCTGGTCTACAGAGCTAGTTCCAGGATAGGCTCCAAAGCCACAGAGAAACCCTGTCTCAAAAAAACAAAAAAAGATTCATTAGAAGGCTCAAGACAAACGGACAAACTCTGCATGGGGCCACAACTCCAGAGCGAGTATGGGAGTCATGGGCCACAGGGTGCCTCCCAGTCTGTAAGCTCCACTGTCTGTGAGCAGGAGGATGTGTGCACTGCTGGGCATCTGAAGGCCAAGAGTCAGTGGGTCCAAAGGGCGAGAGAAGAGCCAGGTAAGGACAAACAGTTTGTTACAGGACGATCCTATTACTCCTTTATTTTATTTATTTCTTGATTGATTGATTTTTTGAGGGAAGATTTTTCTGTGTGACAGCTCTGGCACTTGCTCTGTAGATAGACCAGGCTGGCCTCAAATTCACAGAGATCCTCCCATCCCACCCCCCAACCAATGCTGGGCTTAAAGGCATGCGCCACCATGCCTGCATTTATTTTTATGACAGGGTCTCCGGTCCAGGCTGCTCTCTTTACACAGCTGTGGCTGGCCTTGAACTCTTGGTCCTCCTGTTTCCATCTCCTGATGGGATTATAGGCCAAACCACACTGACAATTCTACCTTTTCAGTCTAAACAGACATTGTGTTGCTCTAGTGACAAGATCAGCTGCCCTGTTCCTGGAGCGGGTGATGGGTTGGGGAAAGAACAAACCCAGAGCAGGCTCCTGTGACCAGGTTTATTTGAACCATCAGATTTCCCTCCCCCACTCCCCCACAAAGAGCTCTCCAACCCCAGCACCAATTCTAGGGAAGGCTTCCTGGGGACGGCTCCGACTCCTGCTGCCTGTCTGTGGGGATTTGGGAAGGGCTGCTCATCCCAGGCTGGGGGTGGGATCTCTTGGTCACCCCGAGCAGCACCCCATTTGAGGGAGGGGCTGGCCTCTTCAGACACCTCACGTCTCTGGGAGGGAGCCATGATCCCTCTGCCAGGCCTCTGTCGCTCTCCTCCCCTGCTGGGGGAAGGCTTTGTGCCCTTACTGTCCACAGGACAGGGGTTCCCTGTGTGCTACCCCCTCGGTCTCAGGCCAGCAGGCGGCTGTACTCTGCCAGGGCTGAGGACTTCTTCACCCCGTCCCAGATCCGGGCAGCATAGTGGAACCTGTGGGTGGAGGACTGCAGTCAGGGGTGGAAACTGAGGCCCAGTAAGTTTCCACATACGAAGGAGCTTCCCAGACCCCTGACTGAGTGGCCTGCTTCCATGCCCTCTCCTGGGGGCTGAGGGGCTGGCCTTAGATGAAGGCCCAAGGGGGAAAGGTGTCTCCACTCCCCCCCCAGCATCATGATGGACAAAACATTCAACAGCAGCTGCACAGCCCAGGTCTTCCCCTCTCCTCAGGCCCTGGTTTAGCAATGACAGGAACCTGAGCTGTGCCCTAAGTGCTCAGTGAGAAGCACCCTGCCTTGGCCTGCGCTCTCCACTCTTCGGTGACTGCAGCAGCAAAGTGAGAGGCTGCACCAGGCCCTGCTCATATTCAACTCTCTCCTAGACAGGGAGGCTGGAGGCAGGGCTCCTCTGAGGGTGAAGGAGGGTGGGACAGAGCGCCTGCAGGCAGGGAGCAGGAAAACAAAGAGTCTCTCTCTCTCTCTCTTTTTTTTTTTTTTTTTTTTTTT